TCCTGCTGCTTTAATTCCCAAATGCCACACTGCCACTCCACTTCCTCTAGCCAGGGAGCTAACTTTGAAATGCAAGCTAGAGGCAGGGGAAGAGCTGGGTCACTTCTCACCCTGATTGTGACCTGGCAAATGATCTGTATGCAGAAGGCATTAACACATTGCTGAAGAATTCTTAGCTGGGTTTATAGCCTTCTCATAGCTCCAGAGGAAGGATGCGGAGGAAGTAACAGGTATCTTAGCATGCTAATAATTGGGAATAAGATTTATCCATTTCATATATGGTGATACACATTTATTATAGAAAAATCAAGAAGTCAAAGAATTTCAGATGTCACTCAGGGACATGTTGTATGATACTGAATGATTCAAGCATTGGTTCAATTCTTAAAGTGTATTTAGCTTTCAACTAGTGTAGACTGAGATGGCCACATAATCTCCCCATGTATCCTTTCAGCAGGATAATTTGAGCTTTATGATTCCCTCTTGGCTCACAGAAACAACACTTCAATAGAACCTTTCCTTAACTACCTCTTTAAATTTTCTGTAGCTGACTTCTTATCTCTAGAAGCAGAGTATAGGTAAAACACAGATAACTGAAACTAAAAGGAAATTGAAAAGCTATTTTTAATTTTTAAAATGTGATGTAAAATCAAAAGCACAAAAAACCCATATTCAGGGGTTTGCATCCATTCCCTCTCCGTCATTGGTGGAAAGTGGGCTTTGCCATGGGAGTGGCATGTGGAATAGAAGGAAAGGCAAGCCAATTCCACAAACAGATCCTGGTCAAAACTGGACTTCACCGTGCCGGTGACTTCCTTACTCTGCCACCAAGCTCATTAAATGACAACAGTGTCCTAGTCAAAAGGTAAAAAACCCTCCCCTCCTTTCACTTGCTGTGAGAACACAGGATGGTCTCTTTGGTTGCTGCTTCACCACACATCCCCAGTGGGCTTATGTTTAAATTAGAATTTTGCATCTTGGTCCAGGCTGATTCATGTTCACAGTGACTCTCTATGATGTGGCTACCATCTAGAATACAACAGGCAGGTGGCTTTGAACTCGGGGCCACATGGGAAGAGGTATACTGATGCCTTCAACAGTTGTACCCATAAGGGCAAGGAAAAACCAATCCATGGAACTACTGCAAAAATACTGAATAAATACATAATAAAATACACTGTCTATGTAGTCAGTCTAGAGCATAAACTTTAAGCAGTTACACAACAGTTGTTATGTCTGATATATAAATAGATTTGCTTATTTATCTATATAACTAAACATGCAAAGTAAAATAATTACAAAATTAATCAGCTACAAGAAACAATACAAGATTTGAGAGCCAAGAAAACAGTCTCAATAATTTCACAGCCAGAGTTGAGCTCTAAGGTGTTTAACCTCTCTTTTCCTGTGGCTCCAGGTCTTGCCTCTAAAACCTAGAACCTGGCTTACAGGATGTCAAATTAACATCTGAATTGGAGCCTGCCCAAGAGGATATCTTGTTAGGTTTTACTTTCCTCATGCCACAGTTTATATCTGACCACAGCAACAGGTGTATGGAAAAGGAAATGTGATCCAAAAGGGCAAAGGCCACTTCCTCCTTCTGTCTTGTGCTCCAGCTCGATTGGTAGCGTGATTACAGCCTCGCTGGCATGTGCAGGGGGCAGCCCATCCCAGCTGTCCTGAAAATTGGCCACAAGTAGCTCATTGGCAGGTGTTTGGCTCAGTGTTTTCTGTCAAGGCCCTGCCTAGACTAGCTGTTAGTTGGAGAATCTAAGAACAATACTCCTAAAGTACACCAGGCAGTATTGCAGCACTTATTTCAGGATGGCTGGATAAATACTGAATCACTCTGCCTTCCTCTATTTACCATGAGAGAGGAAACCAAATATCTAACAAACCCCCAAGCATGCGTACATTATAGGATATGTTCTGTAAAGGGGCTAAAAGAATGGCAGGGTAAACATACTCTCAAATGAATAGATCTGGGAGGACTCTTCTGGAAAACTGACATTGAAACTGAGTTCTGAAAACAGAACCAAGAAGACACAAACAATGGGAAAGGGGATTCCAAGTAGGAAGTATCTACAAAGCCTCTAGGGTGGATGGAGGGTGGCTCTAAATAAAGGGGCAAAGAAACGCATGGTGGGGGCAGAGTACAAACAGGGTTATGACAGAAATGCTGTTGGCAGATCACAGTTAGGAATTTGCATGTTTAAAACAAGTAGGCCACAAACCGGAGTTTTATGATCTAGTATCAATTAAATATTACCCAGAAGACATTCAAAGGAACCTGTCTTGGATGGGAGGGCACCTTCCTTAGCTGTGAGACCCATGGTGATTCTAATTTCTCAGTAACCACAGGTGATGAGATCATTTATGGGTCAGTGGGAAGAAAGTGGGCCAGAAGTTTGAACGGAGGGATGGGATGAAATAATTGTGTCACAAAGTGTTAGATACAGTGGGGACGAGAGTGTGACCAATTTACCAAAAAGAAACATGACAGTGCTATGTCCTGCATCAGAGTGTCTGAGTCCAGGCTCCAGTTTCTGACTCTGGCTGCCTGCTAATTTGGAACCTAGGAGACAGTGGTGAGGGCTCAAATGATTGGGTTCCTGCCATCCATAGTGGAGACCTAGATTGAGCCCATGGTTCCTGCTCCATGGAGACTCACTCTCTCCCTCTCTCCATCCTTCTAACCCTCAAATAGGTAAATAAAATGAATATTACTAAATGGCCAAAAGACTATAAAGTTATCGAGTGCTGTAGAACCTCTGAGTTTGTCACAAACACGTAGTAATATCATCTAGTCCAGTGCTTGCACCATCCTCTTCTGCAGTACTCTCCCAGAGCTACTTTCTGCCATTTTTCACACTATGTGATGACAGACTATAATCCCACCTGCCAAGACCAACTAATCCCCAAACAGCTGCAGGCGCTGGTCTGATACTTCAAGCTTCTCTCATGTACAGTCTATTCATTCCTAAACAACAATAGGAAGGATGGAGGAGGCTTCTTTGCTTGTTTCTGCCCATGTTCCTGGAACTCCACCTCCACCTTAGACCTGGAGAATGTAACACAACTTTCCCTGGGAAGTGAGATAGATTTAGTATTGGCTTAACCTGCTTTTTTACTTTTGTGTAGAATCTGATGCTAATGATTGATATACAAAGAAAAATTATAGGCCACACTGCATGTGATAAGATAAATGCAAGATATCTGGGGTAAAGGGGAGGTAGAGGGAGAAACCCACCCAGTCTCCCACCCATCCCAGGTCCCTAATGTGGGGCATGCTCCGAGGGTCTTGCTCAAGTGGTTTGGATAGTTCAATAGTTCTCAATTGCTGCCAATATCACCATTCCAAGCACAATGAGGTCGCTGAGGAATCCTCTGATTGAGATAATTCACCTTAGAGTCTCTGGTTGCCCTGTTTTTCACTGCCAACATATGGCTGGGGTAGTTGATTGATGTGTTCTGTCATCTGTCTTTTCATGGTTAAGGATCTGAGTCTGGCAGTTCGATTGGGGGGATCCCTAAAGAAACTTTGTCTGAGGTGAACCCAGACCAGGTTCTTGTTTGTACTTGCAAGTAAGGGGCCCAGTACAGTCCATCGCCCCAATCAGCTGGTGGCTGCAAATGCTGGGTCAGTTCAGTTTCCAGCCCTGTCTTCCACTGGAACCAATGGGTGGTGCAGTCCAGCCTAATTCTGCCCCGCATACACTCAGCCCTCATATAAACCAGTGGGAGCTGCAGCCTAGTTGGAGCAACCTGCAGTAACCCCCACCAGACTCTTCCCCTACCCTGGCTCCCGTGCTTGCCAGAATGTGCAGCAGACTAGTCCAGTCTGTCCCACATCCCATCCACATTCTCCTACATGTCAACCCAACCAGCTCCACTATCCAGCCTACACACATGCTGTTGGGCGTCCTTCTGACTAGCATCCCTTGCCTCTGTCAACCAAGAAATCAATGTGCAGTTTTGAATCTTTCATTTTTAATAATACTTTGAGCTCATTCTCAGGCACAAAGGTCAAATTGTTCTTATTTATCTAACTCAAACTAATAAGAACCTAAAAAGGAAGTTTCTTTCAGCAGAAATTCTTTCCACATATGACCACTAGAACTTCCTCAAACTGAAAAATTCTTTTTCTCAACATAGTGGTGAATACGATGGGCAGGAAAGAATGCATTAGAGCCCATTCACTTTTTGCTTTCTCAAATGGGAATTTTATTTTTAATTTTAAGCTTATTTCAGCTGCATCTTAGAATGTAACAAGAATGTACAGTATTTCCCAGAGAGGGAGGGGAAAAAAATCTCATAGATGCACTAACCATAAGCCCAATTACCATCCTCACTTGCAAAATCTGCAACTCATTTTTCTCCATTTCCCTGGTGGTAATCAGCTGACATGCAGGTTGTTGCCTGAGCTGTCTGAGCAGGACCTCTTCCCATATAACTGTCACCTGTGGCTCATGGGTAGGCTTCACTTGGCAGTACGTGAGGACCCTTCAATGCATCTTTCTTAAAGAGCAGTACACTTGCAGTGACAACATCAAGGCAGACAGCTGAGATGAATGGTCTGCATTCATATAAAGAAGTGAGAAAATCCTATTTGCATAGACTTCAGCACATCCTACAGAGCCCCAGTGATTAAAAAAAAGTTCAATTTTTTAGAAAAAAATTAGAAACCCAGTGGAACCAGAAGAGCAGAAAGTTGATAGTGGGGGGGGGGGCTAAAGAAGGAATTCACTCATCTCAAGGGAGCTCTCTTGCCATGGATATAAGCTCCCAACTTACCCAGGCTCTGCTCTCAACAACCGTGGCTCAGTACCTGACTGACTGCTCTTAGTCTGGGACAATGATTGTTTCTAGGACTTTTATCCAGTGCCACTACCATCGGAAACATGCTAGACAAATCTCAAATTGTGATCATTCCTTTTAACATTTAACTTAGGACAGCTGTTTTGCCCATAAAACAGCATTCAAACACAATTTTTCTTTACCTTGGTCTTTTCACCAACAATGTTCTTTTCTAGTTCGGCAATCTTCCGGTTTAGATGATCCAAAATCTCCTTCTCCTTCATGAGTTCCGTTGTTTCAGATTTCTGTTCTCCATCCAAAAGAGCACATTCCATATCCAACTAAGGACACAAAACAAAGCTCAGAAGAGATCCACCCTCGGGGACATTCTCAACTACCCACCACATCGGTACATCTTTAACAACTACAAATTACAAGAAATTTTACTCCCACTAGCCAGAATTTGAGATGTGGAGAACATTCCAGCCCAGGAGACAGCCCAGGAGAGATCCGGGATTCCAGTGTAAGAAGCATGAAGAATCCAGAGTATATTTGCTACAAAATATATCTTATCACTTAACATCTCTTTTCCAATTCCTTTTCTGCTTACTTGTGAAAGATAGCTTGTGGTTTGCTTAAATTCAGGCTCAAGTACAGACCACATTGGAACAGCCACGTTTTGTTTGTCCCTAAAGCACTGAAGTGAAAGTGACCTCAGGCTGGCATGTGAGCTCTGCATTCCTAGTAATGTCAGCAGGAGGGGCTTCCAGGGTGCAAGATGACAGGTGAAGCATCCCCTTAAGGGGCTGGAGGCATCACTGGGGAGCACAGGCATGCAGATCCCCCTGGAAAGACTCTGGCACTAATTCTCACTCCAGGGAGGTAATGTAAAAATTGCTATGGACTACTTTGGTTATAAAAATGTATGTCTGTCTGTTCTCTGGCTTGCAAGCCTCCAGAAAGTTAGGTCTGTCTGAGCCATGTGTGTGAACCTTGCACCCCTCAGTAGTACCAATATGATCTTGAACTCATGCTAAACATCCTCAGAAAATGATGGTTAGATTTACACTCAAGCACCTAAATACAGGCTTTCTCAGCTGACAGAAAGCACAAAGTCACAGCAAAGCTTTACACATACAGTCTATCAGGATGGCTTCACATGCTTAGGTATCTGATTCATAGAAAGAAAAAAAAAGGAAACAAGGAAAGAAAGAGAAAGAAGAGAAAGAAAAAATGGAATTAAAGAAAAGGCACACTTGTATCACGCATGAGAGTTACCCTTGAACAAACAATAAATCATGTTGACTTCTAAGTATTTGGTGTCCAGGACCTGTGTCCTTGTAAACAGCAAAATTTTAACTTATTAAAAAAGGAGAAAAATGAACTCATGTTTTTTACCTCTCTGGAAGATTCATCCATCTGGTCATTTATATCTTTGATTTTTTGCTCAAGCTCCTCCAGGTTGTTCAGAATTACTATTCGAGCATCTTCCATTGCGGCCAGCTCCTGAGCCCTCTGTTCTTCACTTATGCCCTCTGGGGTCTGCAATTCATCAATACAAAAACAGATATTCACATTTCATTTTTAGAATATCCTTTTATTTCCAGACCCCTGACTATTCTTTTTAAAAGATTTATTTATTTATTTTTTATTGGAGAGACAGAAAGATCTGGCCACAACAGCCAGAGCTGAGCCAATCTGAAGCCAGGAGCCAGGAACTTCTTCCAGGTCTCCCACATGGGTGCAGGATACCAAGGCTGTGGGGCCACCCCCACTGCTTTCCCAGGCCATAAGCAGGTAGCTAGATGGAAAACAGAGCAGCTAGTATAGAAACTGGGATGCCCAGCATATGCAAGACAAGGATTTAGCCAAGTAAGCTATCACTGGGCCTGACCCTTGCAGATTCTAAAGGCATTCTTATGATGACTGTTTCTTTGAATTCTGATACATTTTCCCATAGGTGCTGTGCAATACTCAGTAATATTAAATAAGTTAAAACACAGCAACTTCAATTTGCAAGGTCATATCCCCTTAAAGCTAAACATCTTTGAGTCCACATTGAGGCACAGTGGATTAAGCTGCCATTTGCAACACCAGTAGAACGGAATTGCAGGTTCAAATCTTGGCTCCTTCATTTCTGATACAGCTCCCTGCCAATTCCCCTGACAAAGCAACAGAAAAGTGGCACAGGTGCTTGTGTCCATGCCCTCTTTTCGTGTGAAAAACCTGGATGAAGTTCCATCTTCTTGGCTTCAGCCTGATCCAGACCTGGTGGTTCTGCATATGGGAAGTGAGTCAGCAGATGAAAGATCTCGCCCTCTCTCTCTCTTGCTTGTCCCCATCTCCATCACTTAGTCTTTTAAATAAATAAATCTTTTTAAAAAGCTAAGATAACTAAAAGGTTATATAAATGACGAAGCTATGGTAGGTGGAAATTCAAGTGATCTCTCCAAAGTTAAGACAGTTCAGCATAGCAGAGATCTAAAATCATGTTCCATAGAGGTCCCTTGCACACACTGTACCTTCGCACAGGCTTCATGCTTTCATCCACTCCCAAGTGAGTTCTGCTCCAAAAGCCTCTTGACTCTCCTGCCATACTACGAGGGTCTGCACCTGAGCTCTGGTGCTTATTTATTCCTTCCCAACATTAAATAGAATAGCAAGGATACATTATTTGGCTGTGCCCAAATCACTTAAAACTACACCTTTGATGTTAACTGATGCTTTCTTGTGTGATTTATTGCACTATTTACTGCCTTGGTTCTACTGACCATCCTGTATCAAACACTAAACCAGTCAAATTGGCCTTTCAGATCTAACACAGGTCACTGGTTACCTTTGATAAAAGTATTTCATGGAACTAACAAATTTCTTGGTAAGGAATGAGTAAGTCAAGGGAAAAAAGTGGAAAAGAGTGTGCTTATACCACAGAATAGAGCTAATGACAAATGCCCAGCAAAAATGTGACTGCCTCTTAATAAGACAATGTAGTAAGCTGACAACACTCTCTTCCTTCCAGAAGCTCACGTTTTTGTTATGACGGATGTCACCTGGTGGAGACCAAGCTTTCTGCAAAGCCACAGATGCCAATACTGGTGTATTGCTTTGTAAATTTTTAAGTCTCTAAAAGGTGAATTTTTGCATAAGTAAGCAGACAATTACATAATTCACAGAAATTGGAAACAATAGTCTGGTTAATTACTGAGGATCACTTACTAATTATTGAAAATAATATCCACATTGAATAAAAAAGCAATCAAAAATCATTTGACACTAAATTCACCAACTTCATTTAATCTTTTTAACAATCTTGATATTAATTTTAAGATATCCATCAGGTCCTGGTTTATATTCCTTACCCAGAGTCTTAGTCTATTCTTTTCCCAACTTAGCAGTTCCATAAGGAATTTAAACAATTGAAAATACAATCGTCATAAGTTGGTTAGAACAAAGATATGCCAGACTTCTAAGTTTTGACATTTATCTTTTCAATTTTCATTTAAAATCCAGCATATTATTATCTAATGAAATGACTGATGACCTGTTTTTTGCACAGACAATGAAGCTCAGTAGCCTAATGCCGAGGTGCCTGTTTTAGGCCATGAGGCATGTAAGGAGCAAGCAATGGCATTCCAAAATCACAGCCCAGTAATCCCAGCAGGAAAGTCTCACCAAGGCCAGTATCCTGTTGGGTCAACAGCACATATCAAGTTTCTACTTCCAACACAGTTTAAAAATATCTCTCTCCTGGGTGGAAGTAAAGCACTAAGAAAAAAACCAAACAACTGGACAATCTGTAAAACTATAATGTTTCTAAGTAACCAGAGGGGTAAAGATACTTAATAGTGAAAGTTACAAAAGTTTGAGTAACTCAAAGTTTTGAAAAGTTTATCACAATAAGTATATTTAAAATGGACAACTTACGAGGCTGCTTATAGCAATACATGCTATCTAGGAAATATTTGTGGCACCTTTTTTTCTGTTACTTATAAGAAGCAAAATCTCCAAAAGACATCTTAAAAGTAAAAGGTTTCTACTAGAATAAGATCAAAATACAATAATCTTGTTTATTAACCAAAGAAAGAAAGCCAACAGTGACACAAGGCTAGCGGTTTCTGAAAGCTTGGTCTTTAGCGGCTAGGAAGCAATTAAAATTTTAAACAGAAGCCTTTCATTTTAATTTTCTGGGATTTTTCTTTTTTTCAGCAATGGAGTCTATGCCATAGCAATATGACTTAAAAAGCACATTACACATGTATGTGCATCACCAAATTGTCTTTCTTTGAAGTAACGGGAGTCACACAGAGAAAGGGACGTGGGAGCCTCTTCTTTACATTCTCTTCTGAGAACCCACTTTCAGTAAAATGGGGTGCAGATGCAAGGGCTTTCCACCTTGGGAACAATTTCTCAAAAAGGAAAAGGATGAGGTTCTCTCCAGCAAACTTTTATACCTGCGATCCCAAGACAGGTACAGACAAGAACATTAGAATTGGGGTCTTCCCAAGGGCATTGGCATGTGTTAGGTATAGCAATTAAGTTTGAGACTGGTAAACTGTGAGTTTCCTAGATATGGTTAGAAGCTTCCTTTAGTTTAATCAACTTAAGTATTTTTCACATTCCTGTTCTCTACTTAGCCCCAAATCCACTAATAACGGACTTCCTACTTTGTAAAGCAAATAATGCAGTGCCCAGATTACTGGAATAGGAAGAAAATAAAAAATAAACAGTCCAGAATCTTTTGTTTTTCTTTTCAAGGTAGTGTATGTCTTTGGCAAGTAATAAATGAAAAATTCATTTCTCTGTCCCATCGACCTTTCTCCTTCATTGTGTCTAAGTTGCAGGGTGGTCACCAGGGGTACCCTGGATGGCACGTCTCTAAAGGACGCATGCTCTTGCACACGCAAGTGTAGACTCCACTTTATGCATCAGAGGTCTTCTCTTCCATAAGTGCATACCTGAACAATTAAAAACACCTGCCAGGATTTGCTGTTTTTTGCACTGACAGCTTTCTTGTCTAAGCTCTCAATGGATAGTCTTTACAAAAGCACACAACTCAAGACTTTGACCCACATCTGGCAGATATCCATAAAGGAAGATGTGTGAAAAGACTGAAGATGAAAAGGAAACTAAGTATTTCTCAGGATGTTCAGTGCAGCTAGCTGCAGCTCAGATGTTCAAATGAGGAGTTTTACTTGATTACTCTCCTGAGCCTCCATCCATTCTAGCTTACATCCATTTCCACTTTCACGTAATGGAGACAGAATATCTCTCCACTGAGAATGTGTTGACCTCGGACTCCAGAGGAAAGAAGGGATGGATGGCCAACATACCCTTGACCATCCAAGTCACTGTGTTTCATGGGAGAACTCATAGGTAGATAAATACTTATCACTGAGGACATTCAGTAACTAGTCTTTGCACAGCCAAACAAACACAAAATCAACCACTACAAACACACAGATTCACAAAGCACCAGGATGTTCTCTTAGAGGATCATCATCTGTTTCCACATAACATAAAACTAATATTACCTTATTTTTTCATTCTGTGGCTTTGACGGCCAAGACTGAGTCAAACTTGATAATTACTTTGTTATTCATTCTTAACTAAGTAAATGCACCTGTACTTTCCTCTTATTTATCGAAGGAGCAAGGACCGAAAGTCTTTAGCTCTGCTTCTGCCCCTACCCGTTGGGACTGAAGGACAGATCTCTACTCCAATGAAGATGCTCTCTCCTGCTGTCTTTCTCACACCCAGCCTTCACGACTGAAGACACCTATCTCAGTCCCTGGCCCACTGAGATAGTCTTGAACGCACCCCATCCTTGGCCTGCTTTTCCCCTCACCATTTCACACACTCTCAAAGCTGGCCCCAGGAGGGCAAACAAGCTCAGCTCTGTCCCAAATCCTTCCCATCATGGCTCTCAGCTGCCCTGTGCTACACCAATCGAGCCTGTAACCTACTTCTTGCTGTCTGCGGCGTGCATATGCCAGCAGACAGCCATCCCTAGGTTTATTTTTCTCTGGATAAACATGTTCTGACTATGAGTTCGTGTCTCGCCTACTTTCTGTCCTGCTCTTTTTCCTTACATTTACTATTTTCAGATTTCAAACTTGAGTCTAAAAATGATACATCTTTCGTGGTAAGTGCCTTCAAGTCCTTTTCACAAAAGAGGTGGGAGTTTCCTCTTTGAATCTTCACAGAAAAAATTCTTAAGCTGTGTGAAAAAAAGCAAATAAATTTTTTTTTCCTTTTGAATTTTAAAAAATCATCAAATTTGGAAGATACTTGTAAAACAGTATACAACCAAAATACTAAATAATAGTTGTGACTGCAAATAAATCTGTATGTTTAAAAAACATAGTCATTGATTGGGAAGATCGCTCATAATAAAAGACTTATTTGCTTACTACAAACAGTTCTTACTACTCATTAAATACAAGAAAAAAGAATAAGAAAGCTTTAAAAATATATAAAAATGTCTTATTAATGCAAATGTCACTGGAAGAAATATCTTTTGGGGGTAAATTTGGCAATGCTGCTTAAAATGAATAATAGATTCTTGAACCCAGAAGTTCTACTCTTATTAAGTGATCCTACAGATACATATGCACAAATGCACAAAACCAAATAGGACAGAATGTTGGCTGACTGTGGACTTTATTAACAAAAACCTGGAAATAACTTACATGATACCTCCAAACACAGATTTTTAATCTGCCATTAAAAAGAATGAAGGAGATGTGAGTGTACCAATCTACAAAGATTCCCAAAGTGACTTACAGAAAGGAAAAAATTCAAGGCACTTAGTGTGTGCCTGTGGGTGTTGTATGTCTGTAATACATAGTTACATATGCACTGAAACATCACGAAAGCAAGGGAGGCACTACCAACTACATTTACCTCTGAGGTGTACAACTGGGAAGGGAATGAAGAGGAGAAAACTGTCTACTCTTTCTATGCTGTTACATTTTTAACAGTGCAAATATGTTGCTTGATAGTAAAATCCTCATTTTCTGTGTCTTGTTTAGCTTACTGCCTCTTAAACGGAAACTCCACTGAAACTTTCTGGAAACTTACCATGATAAAATCTCTGATTCCCAGACCAAAGAGTATGCATAGCTCTAGGCCAGAAATCCTAGTCTCTTTGCTCAGCATCCCTTAGGTCAGAGAATTGATGAGCCAGTATTACCTTTGGGAGGATGCTTAGGTAAGAGGACTCGCTGGAAGCTTTCAGAAAGGCAGAGGATGGTGGAGGAGGCGTCCTGGTGAGGTCACTGAGCAGCTCCTCATTTCTGACGTTTCTGGGGGCAAGGAAGTTACCACTGCTCTGACCGAGGCCCCCGAAGCCAGCCAAGTCTGCATCATGGTGTGAGCCCTTCCGGTTGCACCTGTAACGCGTATCAGCAGCTGCCAGGGCTTCTTCAAACACCGATTCCTCATCGGAGAGTTGCAGCTTGTCAAGCTCCTTGTTGATTTTCTGCACATCCGCCACGGTTGTACCAGTGGACAAATGACTGTCGGGCTTTGTGTACTCAGCACATAGGCTGAGGATGGTCTCCAGACGCTGTCTTTCCTGGAACACAGGGAGGAGGGAAAGGTTAGAGTGTTGTGCCGATGGAGACTGAAGGGGCTAATTACCTCACTCCACACACAAACCCAGGTGCTGGGCTGCCACTGCTGCTGCTGCTCGCCTAACACCTTCACTGCATGCTTTTGATGCACTATAGGTCAAAAGTGTCCCACTGTACTGTTTTATCTTAGTATATCCTAGGGCTGACCCTAACACAGATCAGTCTTTTCTTGAGTTAACCTTATCTTCAGCACTTTGTCATTTTTTAAGATTCTCATTTCCTTCCATCTGCTGTCCAACCTCCTTTGTCTCTACTTCCACAATATCTGACTCCTTTATCAAAGATAACACTTGTTTAATGTTCATTCTCTATAGTCCTGTAGAAATGTTATTGTACTGTTAAGACACAAAAAAAGCAGGAAGATAATTGAAGAATCTTTTAATTTAAAAAGCATGTCTATGGTTTTTTTTTTGTTTTTTGCTTGATGCTTCAAAGTTTTCCAAACATTCTACCTGGTGACCACAGAAAAGCCATTTCCACTAATTTCTCATGTGAATAATTAAAACTAGAAAAATGTGGGACTGTTATACTAAAACAAAGAGCATTCTCTACCAAGTCCAGATAAAAAGATAGCAATATAACTCAAATTCAGAGATCATGAAATTTTTTAAATGGTAGTTGTCTTTTTTTTTAAAAAAAGACCAACATTTAAATCGTAGATACCTATAATATAGTGTCACTAATATCTCAGCAGGCTTCCAATGCATAAGAGATACATATTTATGATATTTGACTTTAAGTTAATTAGGTTTTTGTGAGTAACAGGGTATTATTTACAAAATGCTTGTCAGAATCCTATACAACACTGCTTAGCGTGGTGAAACAGAACATCTTTATCCTTCATACTAGTTTCAATGCTAAAGCTGAAAAAGAACCCAAACTAAAAACCATCTGCTGTGATTCTGTCTACCACATTGTAAAGAGACTTCAAAAGCCAATTTCAGAAGATTTCAGAAAACCATTTTCCAAACTGCTGACCAGTAACAAAATAGGAAATTATGAAGTAGCACTGGGCTACTGTTTTCATGTTAACTGCATCTAATTTCTAAAGAGAATACTCAGAAGACAATTAACTCTTATTATTTAAAAACAGTAATAAGCAAGAAATGTCAAATAGGAACAAACCAACTTAACTTTCTGATTTCAATTAAATACATTCATTGACAAGAGAGAAGTCACTTAAAGTATATCTGACTTAGATCCAATCTCTAAAGTACCTCTACCTTCACCAAATAAGCAATAGGTTGATCAAAAGAGCTATTAAAACAGTTTTTATACACTCCCACCTCCCTTTCATTGCCAGAACCTCCGGACTCCAGGTACAGCTCGGTCCTCATGGCCTCTTTTCACAGCAGACATTCATAGCTACACAGTCTCATCCTGGCTCATCTGTAGCTAGTCCATCTAGGAGCTCTGAGGTTTATTTATCTGTGCGGCTGCCACCAGCTGCCAAGCCCTACCCACCTCAGCTTTACAGGGGAGCAAGTCAGGGGCACACAATGCTCACTGACTCATTGTGAACTTCTCTAACCTCTGACAACCAGGAAATCTACATGGGGATATGCTAAAGCAACCTGCAAGGATATGAGACAAAGAAAAGACATTACAGCTTATCTTTTTAATATCATCTATATTAGAGACTAATCTCCAATGAGAAGCTTCCTGTATGCCATTTCAGTAATTACTGAGCCACCTATACTTAGCCTTTACTAATAATCTTTATGGATCATGACAAGCATACATTAAGCCTTGGCATTAATTACATTTGAGATTAATTACATCTGGAACCTGTCAATTCCCATTTACCAGGGATGCAATGAACAGTGAAGTCTTCAAAAGCATTAAAGGTACTTCTGGAATACATATTGCAAAATTCCTCCCACATATCCTTCCCAAAATAGTTGCTTTTGCTGTTAGTGCTATTGCTTAATTCCAGAGGGAATAAACGATCCAGGCTTAAGATGAATGCTATTTCAGACAGTGAAATGTGGTATTCAAAGGCTTGTGCGCAGGAAGTTTGGTCTACTGGTATGTGTTTCTCTCTATTCTTATCACCCCATTCACAGCCAATCCATCTAGGCTTGAAACACACACACACAGCAAAGCTACATGGGAGTCTAAAAGAAATCCAGGCTGCATGGAGACATACTGGGCCCATAAAAGCTTCACCAAAGAAAAATAAACTGATGTCAAGGAGTGCGTCAGAGCCATCTGGGACACTTTTCAGAAAGCCATACAAAAAACCTTTTAAGGAAAACTCTGGAAGGAAATTACCTTGCAAAAAGAATTCTCCTTTCAACCCTCTTCACTCTGGTGCCATGACCCTTCCCATTCATCATACTCTATGTACTACCCAAGACCTAAGTGGCCATTCCAGACAAAACTGTTTGGAGAATGAGCGTGTATTATTGATGATTATGTTGAAACAAAGTGCATCCAAGGTTGGTATCAGCACACTGGGTTGTGACACTTACAGCCCTCTGCTGAGAGGTCGATATTCTTGGAAGTGTCACCTCAAATTCTGTTATGTCAGTAAGCTGTCCTCTTGGAGATATCAAAATCTCATTCATTTTCACACCAGCAACCTACCACTCGTGCCTTAACACCCAAATGGCCTGAAGCACGGTGCTAACGACCTAGAAAGTAGGTCACTTGGAAATTTCAAGTGCATTTTATTTTTTTTTTCCTTCCCTCCCATTTTCCCTTTCCTTTACTCCATACCCCACACACATCAAAGGAAGCTTTGGAGGGAGACAGTGGCATGCAGGTTTGCTTTTTGTTTTTTGTTTTAGAGGCTCAAAAAAAAAAAAAAAAAACAGCTGTGGGCCATGGATATGTGTGTGTGGACTTCAGAGCTTGCTTTGTCGGGAGGAATGTTTCTGCCAATGTCCTCTTGCAGCTTCACAGTCAGTCCAAAGTAGACAATACCATCCTGCACCTAAAGCCACCCAGTCCCCTTGTGACCAGCCCCAGCCTGTCCAGGCCTTAAGGTTGTCAATATACTGCACAAACACATAATTTATGCAAGAAAGCCAGCTAGCTGTTGACACGTGACATCTTGGCTCCAAATCCTTTTGCAAGAATTAAATATGTGAAGTCATTTATTATCTAAAACAAATGGGTCACCTATTCAATATGAGACATGGTTTAGATGAAAGGAGACCTCCCCCACCCCCCTTTTAAAGGGAATTATTGTAGCAGAGGAACATGGTTCTGCTTTCACTTCTGTTAACCCTATGGGATTAGTATCTTCACAATCTGCTGAACAAAGTCTCTTAAAAGTTACTCATTTCCTAAGGATGTGCTAGGAATACAACGATGAAAGACAGCCATCCTACCCTGCAGTCCTTAACAGGAAGCACAAATGCATAATTAATTACAGAAACAGCATTAGGAGTTTTATAGAAAACCTATGGATTGCCATGTGGGATAGTCTGGGAGGAGGAAGGATGCCTGCACAGAAACAAGCCAACATTGTTCCTTCTTCTATCAGGATTTAAGGAATCCCAAGGGTTCCCCAAAAACTTTGAATAAATTCATGGATTGCAGCAGCAAGAGTCAGAAAACCTGATGGAAACGTGGGGTTAAGGGATGTAGCTGCGGCGCAGCATATTAAGCCCCCGCCTGTGATACAGGCACCCTATAGGAGTGCTCAGTTCCTGGTTGCTCTACATCGGATCCAACCCCCTGCTATGCCCTTGGGAAAGAGGCAGAAGATGGCTCAAGTGTGAGGGGCTCATCCACTTTCAAGAAAAATCCAGGTGGAGTTCCCACTTCCTGCCTTTAGCCTAGTCAAGACTCAGAGGCCAGTTGGGGAATGAACCAGTGAGTGGAAGATATCTGTTTTTCTCTTTAACTCTGCCTTTCAAATAAAGTAAAAATAAAAATAGCAAATGGAAATAGGGGTCACGATGAGAAAAGTTTCACAGCAAGTAACCAGAATTTCCAAAATTGTTTAAATATATCCCCAAAATAATTAAATAAGTCCCAGTTAGGTAAGACAATCAGGAGGGAAAGAGAACAAATGGCTAGAAGTCTTTCATCAGAGACAAATCTCCTGGGATAACTGGAGCTACCAAACTACATAGGAGCCTCAGACTTGCCCAGTGAAAATGGAGAGAGAATGCCACTTTCGCCTGAATGGCCAGCATACGATGCGTTATTGCCTTGCTTTGCAATAGCAGAGTTGCCACTTTAGATGTGGCTGGTTCCACCAGCCTGAGACCTGATGAGGAGACACAGGGCAGAGACCTTGTTCAGTCCACATTGGCCATGGGGCTTAAGAGAGAAAAAGATGTATGTTGTTTAAATAATGTTTGTTCTTTTTAGTTTTTCCGCCAACAGAAGCCTATTATACCTGACAAGCTGTGCTTACTTTTTTGCAGGAAACTAGCCCCAAGCTTGGACATGAATGCAAGGATCCCACTAAAGAAGCTAAGTTACTTATTGTGCAGTCAACAGTTTGGCTTTGCCCAAAGATGAATCTAGCCTCTACCTCTGACTTCTGGAATGCAGTGCGCCTCAGTTCCATCTGAAGATTTTTATTTAGAACAGGGTTGGCTGCAATAATTCTAGGAGGGAAGCTAGTCATTCAAGAGAGCCCAACCATGTAATGTTTAGTGTGAAGGTTGCACATCATGGGATATTAGTTAACTAGAAGAATGAGATTAAACACATGACCAATTAATCTACCAATCATGCCTAACAATAAGGTCTTGGCAAATCTCTGTTTTCATCAGTTTTTAACTACAGTTAAGTCTCCCAAGGGCTAAGGTTGGTAGTAACACATTCCAACCACAGAGAGAATGGGAGAATATCACGGAAGCACCACCTTTGGAGTTCCCCGGACTCAGCACTGTGGGTTTATTCTTTGCTTGTTCCATGTTTGTACATTTTCCCTTTTTAAAAGACAAACAAACAAACAAAACTAGGACAGTAACTG